GCCCGCCCTCCAGCCCGGCTCGGCCCGAAGGGCCCGGCCCGGCTGCCTCCCCTCCCCCCTCGCCGGTCTCGCCGAGGTCGGTAAGCTGCGTCTGGAGCACGGAGAGGAAGGCGCGGCGCGGCCCGCCGGCGGCCCCGGCTCCTCGCGGCGGCTGCTCAGGAACCGGCGCCCGGGAGCGGATCGCGGAGCCCGGCTGCGGACTCGCTCGTGGCGAGGCTTTAAATACAAAAGCGGGCCGGGAGCCCCCGCGCGGAGCCGCAGCTCCCCCTCATTATGCATGCATGGAAAGGCAAACAAACAAAAACAGCGGCGACGCCGCGCTCGGCCGCCGCGCCTGGCCCGCGCTCCGCACCCGCTCCCTTTCTCCCTCGCTCGCCGCCCGGCTCGGCCCCTCCGCGGCTCCGGGTCGCTATTGGCCCCGCTTGCTGTTGTTGAAACTTTTTTCAGCGAGCGGAGGGGGCGGGGCGGCGAGCGGCTCGGAGGGCGACTCCGCCCACTCTTAAGGGCGCGCGGTCGGCCCGGCGTAACTCCGTCGCCGCTGTTCAGCCCCGCGGCCGCTAGCTTTCCTGTTCCGTTCTTTTTCCATCGTATTTTTTGCACAAGGAAGCTTTATTCGTTTGTCTGGATCTCCCTAGTCCGTGCCTTCGACGGGAGTCAGAAGTCCGTTTCTTTTCTGGGTTTGATCATCCCTGCAGGCCAGCACCGGCCGAGGGTATAAAGATTCCTGTAGTTTAATGCGGAACTTTCGGAACTTGCGCACACGCGCGCTCTGAGGGGCAGTAGCACACGCTCAAGCCGCGGAGTGGTGAGACGTTTACGCGCGCAGGCACGAGCGCACGCCCCCTCCCCTACGAGGCCGGAGGCATCTGCAAATCCATTTCTTAGGAATACACTTCGTAAGGGACGAAGGACCCTGATGGCCCTTACCTGGAGATTATGTGGGGCAGCTTTCACTGGCGGCCGGCGCCGGGGAAAAGGATCCTTGGTGCGAGCGTCCGATCTGTGCTCCTCCAGGTGCTTGGAGTGGGTTGGCTTCGCTGGAGCAGAGGCGACCTTAACTGCAGCTCAGCACAGCTTGTCAAAAACTGGCGCTTTTTTTCCCTCCTCTTTCCGTGGAGAGACTATCAACTCCATCTGTCACAAAATCCAGGCCGAGTCTCCTCCCCGGAGGCCAAGGGAGCCATGCTCCCAGGCCGGGTCTCAGCAGGCAGAGGTGCCAGTGCGGAGGTGCCAGAGGACTCTGCTGTCCCACACCCACAGGGCCAGGCCAAGGGAGGTGATAGTTTTGCCCTGACCTGAGTGGCTGTACACAAATAGTATCAATTTACACTTAAGATTTAACAGGAAGCTTGTTA